TTTAAGGCCTAAGTATATACTATACAATACTATAGAAGTACAGGGAGCCGTAGCATAAACACCTTCGTGGTCGAGGACTTTACGGGGCTCCAGGGTTGTGTTAAGCAAACTACTGGCCCCCTCTCTCTTAACGTTTAGGGTTTAGGGGCAGTGGGTCTTGGTGAAATTTAGAGATATAGGTAGTGAACGAAAGTAGGGTCCCTTTTAGGGTCATCTTCATAGGGGTGCCGTACTAGTCTAGGGGATTTAAAAAGGGCACTAATTTTGAGAACTACCCGTATGAACCTTTCAAACTGAGCACCCTAAACTCCTGAACCCTGTGCCCTAAAAACTCATGCCGAAACCATCACATACCCGAATCCGGAACTCCAAAACATCAACCCCGAACCCCGCCTGGCATTGAGGGCATTTTGCCTACCTCCTCTTCGGAGTTCTTGCGCCTCGTTTGCTCAGGGATAGAGTTGTGGGCTATTTTGGGGCTTTATGATGTTGTTGGAAGGGGCTTGGGGGTTTAGAGGTTCTTGTGGTGTTTAGGCTTTTAGGGGTTCGGGTTCAGGAGTTACGATTCATTGCTTCTAAGTCGGAGTCCCTGATTTGGGGTCCTTGCCGAAGGATCCTAGCATTTTGTAGAGACTCTTACACAACAATGAAGTGACAAAACACTCGGTAGGGGCATAAAGATAGGACCGGGCTTCAGGGGGGATTGGACGCGGGGAGGGGGGGGGGGGGGGGGGNNGGGTTTAGGGTTTAGGGTGTATAACAAGGAGATTCTCAGGCATAGTCCTGCTCAACCAAGCTTCAACATTGGGCATCATTGTAGGAGCCTTAATTACTACAATAGGGTTTGGGGGCCCATTATACTATACTTATAATAAGGAACCCCCAAAACAGTACAGGTAATTACTTAGGCACCGACATTATCCCTTGAACGGACTGTCAAGTCTCTGTATGTCTCTGAATATAACATCCGGTATCTTGCATCCAAGCCGCTTCTGTGCCGACGCACGTGACAGGTAGTTCAAAAAGTCGTGGAACGTGATCGACTGTTTACCTGGCTCTGGGTTGAAGGCTATACGGCACAACCTAGACCCTGGCCAGTTTCACCGTCGAACTTAAAAGTCCTTAGATGTGCATCTTAACTCGGCCTGCGCATGCTCTCACTGAGTTCAACTGCATGATAGGACTCGATGCCATCCCGGTGTTCTCGACTGCGTCCCTATATGGCTGTTGTCCTTGCTGCTTCCTTCCTTCACTCATACTGCGGTAGGACGAAAGTTCGTCGCACTCTCTATGTCGCTCTTGGACAGGACATAAACCCCTTCTCCCCGTAGACTCCTCCACCCAGTCCTCCGCCGGGAACAATATAGTAGTATAATTTTATTCCCGTCGA